TCATAAAGTATAACCAAGTCATACGAGAATAATCATCAACAAATGTAGCAAAATATTTGAAACCAGATTTGGACACAACAGGACATGCCCCCCAAACATCAGTATGAACAAGATCAAACAGAGCGTTTGTTCGTTTATTAAGTCGAGGACTTAAACTAGTCCGATGATCTTAGTTTTAAAAGGCGTGAGGCGGCATGAGGCGATTCATCGATTTACTCGAGGCGCGAGGCGCAAGGCGACGAGGCACGCGCCTCACTGATCGAAACCATATATCTTTGGTAAAATATATTTTTACAACTTCTACATGAAGCACTCTTCTAAAAAATACTTCTATTAATAGTAAATATATTTACAATAAACTGTTAGTACTTAATTCAAATCCTAAGCAATTAATAGTAAATTTTTAAAAAAACTTTTATATAATGATTATTAATAACAACCAGCTCTCATATATAATTGACTAATTATTACTACCTCCGTCCCGCTATGATTGTCCCGTTTTACCTTATCGGTCCGTCCCACTAAGATTGTCCCATACCAAATTTGGCAAAGTTTGTGTGGCTCTAAATCATTCTTACTTTATTCTTACTTTATCAATTCAATATCAACCACATAAACCACTTTTTATTGATTTGCGTGTCACTCCCTCTTGTCCCATTGTTAGCGAGACGGAGGGAGTATATAATAAACTTATAAAGTATCAAGAGTATAAAGTTAAACAATCAGATTGACAGATTCGACAAACCATTTTTATTATTTCTAAAAATTGATAAAAATTCGGATTGGGATTAGGGTTTAGGGAAGATTGTTATATGGTTATATAATTACATAATTTGAATTATTTTATTTATTTTAAAAATAATAGTGTAAAGAATGCAAAGACTAGCGGAAGAAAGAAAACAAAGAGAATGGAAGAAAGAAACTTACGCAGCCGAACAAAAAGAAACAAAGAGAACGGCCGAAAAAAAAACATAAAAATGGCAATCTGCGACAGAGGAGCGGAAGGTTTGAGACTTTGAGTTGATGGAGTGAAGTAACCTTACCTTACATACATATATTACCCTACGAAAATTCTGGAAATCGAGAGGGATGAATCGCCAAAAGGCTTGAAGGAAGTTTAGCGGACATATTCCATAAGGCGTGAAAGGCGACGCTTCAAAGAGGCGCAAAAGGCGGCACTAGGCAAGGTAAAAGGCGCGCCTTATGGAATCTGTTGCGCCTGGGATGTTTGGATGCGATGAAGTCATCGCCTAGAGGCGCCTCGCGCCTTTGCGCGCCTCAGGCGCGCTTTTTAAAACCAAGCCGATGATGTTTTGCAAATTCACACGACTCACATTGTATAGATGACACCTTATTAAACTGAGGATATATTTGCTTCATTAGTGGGAGAGATGGATGTCCTAAACGGTAATGAGCTTCTAATAGATTTTGTGATACCTTTTGTGATTGACGTATCCAAAATATAAAGACCAGAGATACCTTTTGTGATTGACGTATCCAAAATATAAAGACCAGCTGACTCATGTCCTTTACCAATAGTCTGCTTTGTCAACAGATCCTGGAACACACAATATCCAGGAAAAAACGTTACAGAACAATTAAGAGTACGTGTGATTTTACTGATGGAAAGCAGATTAAATGCAAAATTAGGAAGACTCAAAACAGGTGATAATGGTAATGTAGAAGTTGGGACAACAGTACCGGATCCAAGAACAGGTGAGGTAGATCCATCAGCTAAAGTGACACTAGAAGTAGGTAAATATGAATGAAATGATGAGAATAGACTAGGATTACAAGTCATATGATTTGTGGCACCTGAGTCAATGACCCATTTCGAGGATGAGGAAACAAGACATGTGTTTGAAATACCTGAATTAGCAGCTACCGAAGTAGGGACAGATGAATGCTTTAGTGATTCCTGGTAGCAAATAAATTTGGCATACTCTTCTGAAGAAATAACAATTGTTCCATCAGATGAACTGGTAGCAGAAGCAACATGAGCAATTTCCTTGATTTTTGAACAGCAATTTTCTACATTCTTTAATCAAGTGCCCGGGCTTCTTGCAGTAATTGCATATTACTCCTCTGTCAAATTGACCCATACAAGACATATTTTTTTTTGTTTATTTTTCTGTTTTTTTTTTGATTTTTTTTTGTTTATGAGTGTAATGAATTCCAAAATTGAGATATCCAATGAGAACTTACAGCAGCCCGTTTGTGGACTCACCTTGGAAAATAAAAGATCTAATTGATTGGGCTTTGACTGAGCAGCCCGTTTGTAGACTCGACCCGGAGAATAAAAGATTGATGCCAGAGTGCCAGACCCTAACGAAGAACAGCCAGACAAAGGAGCGTGCGTATGTCCGTTATGAAGCCTGGAAGGAAGAAACAAGATTTTTGCGTAGCCTGGACGGTCTCTTTTCGATGTCAGCGTACTGAAGAGCTCGAACGAAACGCAATCATCCCAAAGAGACGCTACAGCAGAAGATAGGCGATATGCAGGTGAGCTGGTTAGCGTGTTCCGATTGGAAATCTGGCCGCAGAATGGACGTCACGTGCCGACGCGTGATTTGAGGTCACCGAGCTGTGGCGGCACGTACGACTCAGTCGCGTAGAGTTTGGGTGTCGGACTTTGGTTTCTGGGTCGTCGGAGGCAGCCGCACCACCTGGGTACGGTGGTGATGAAATGTGTGGTCTGAGAATTTCTGAGGTCTGGTGGGCAGACTCTATGCTAAGGAATTTTCTAGGAAATTAGAATGGTGCCTAGAGGTTCTGTAGAATCTGAAAAACTGAACTCAAGTTCCTTGAAGGAAGAATCCAGTCTGAAAATTAAACTGAAAACTGAAGAACTAAACTAAAATGGAAATCTCTGATACCATGTTGAAATATAAACTACAATGATATTAAAGATGGAGAGAAGGATTTTCTGTGTATTTCATTAGTTGTGGAAGTCCCTATAAATATACATTACAAATAGAATATTCCTATATAAGATTCTATACAATAATAATATCTATGGTATATTCCTAATACATTCTATAGCATATTCTAAAGTATATTCTAATATACTTTCACACCTTTTTTAATGGAGACCTAGAAGAGGAGGTATTTATGGATGTACCACCAAGGTTAGAAGACTTAGTGATATCTGGCCAGGTTTGCAGGACTGAAAAAGTCCTTGTGTGGACTAAAGCAATCTCCTAGACGTGGTTTGATAGATTCACAAAATCAGTTATTAAACAAGGGTTCATGCAATGTCAAGCAGGCCATACATTATTTGTAAAGAGCGCAAACTCAGGTAAAATGACTATTCTTATAGTATACTCCCTCCGTTCCTATTAAAACTTCCAACTTTCCTTTTTCGTCCGTTCCAATTAAAATTTCCACTTTCCCTTTTTAGTAAAGAATTAGTGGTTCACAACATTTCTTACACATTTCTCTTTCCTCTACACAACTCTCCACCACACAATACCCACTATCTTAAATTGTGTGCCAAACCAATTTGGAAGATAAAATAGGAACGGAGGGAGTATATTGATGATATTATTATGACTGGGAATTATAAGGTTGAATTGGACAAATTGAAGGCTCATCTAGCAAGAGAGTTTGAGATCAAGGAGCTAGGTAAGTTGAAGTACTTCCTGGGAATGGAAGTGGCAAAATCTAAGAAAGGCATTTTCTTATCACAAAGGAAATATGTCCTAGACTTGCTAAGTGAAACTGGAATGCTTGGGTGCAAGGCTATGGACACTCCTATGGATATATCAAAAACGTTGGGCAATGAGAATAAAAGTTCACCAGTTGATAAGGAAAGTTATCAAAGGTTGGTAGGGAAGCTAATCTACCTATCTCACACACGACCAAACATTGCTTTCTCAGTAAGTGTGGTAAGTCAATTCATGAATGACCCAATTGAGGAACATGTAACTGCAGTCTATAGAATTCTAAGGTACCTGAAAATGACTCCTGGAAAAGGATTGTTGTTTCAAAAACAGGGGACAAAGAAGATCGAAGTGTTTGCTGATGCTCACTGGGCTGGAAGCCTTTTAGACAGAATGTCAATCACTGGTTATTGTACTTACGTATGGGGTAAATTAGTCAGTTGGAGGAGCAAGAAACAATCAGTGGTTTTGAGATGTAGTATAGAGTCTAAGCTCAGGGCTTTAGCATAAGGAATCTGTGAAGGATTATGGTTAAGAAGATTGATGAATGAGCGAGCTCAAACTTCCATTTGAAAACTCCATCCAGATTTCATGTGATAACCAGTCTACTATCAGTATTGCTAAGAATCTTGTCCATCATGACAGGACTAAACACATTGACATAGATAGACAATTCTTATCTGAGAAGATTGCAACAAAGGATATCCAGCTGAGCTATGTTCCAACCAGGCAGCAAATAGCTGATATACTCACCAAGGCACTTCCCAAACTTCAATTTGAAGACTTATCTAGCAAGTTGTGCATGGATGATATCCATCACCCAGCTTGAGGGGGAGTGTAGATTATTACAAATCAGTCTAATTACTCACCCGATTGTGCATTTATGAGGAGATATCTTAGAGATTTCAGAATCTTTAAATATCCCCAAATATCTTCTGTATTAGGGAACCTTAATTAGGAGGATTCCTTCTTTATTTCACTTTTATCAAGCTATATACATTTTGTAATCTTCTCCTTGTATTACACAGAACAAATAAACAAAATATATTCTTCTTTCTCGAGTTCTTTCTACCTATAGGATTTGTAATCATTAACATTCTGAAAAAGGTGCATTACAATCCTGGTATGGAAGTGAACAAAAAGATCTTTCAAGGCCACATCGTATTCCATATTCCTTTCACCTTTAGAATAATAGGTAATTAATATTCTTCATATGACAAAAGAACTACATAAACCAAACCACTTAAATATTAAGTGTTTCTCGAAATTCTTCCCACACAAACTTTTGCATCATGTTTACAAGACCATGCATTTCAAGTATTGGACACATGCACATACCTCCTTGAGCAGTCTCCCGCCACATGCCAAATTAGGATTTGTTTTACAGTCTTTAAACCATCTAATAGACTTGACAGCTGCTGTACAGCCCAAAGCATGTGCAGTGTAGGAGTGGCCGTGTAAAAGACCTTCGAGCTGAAAATGACAAATTAACACAGCAGGAGACCAACAAAGTTGAGTCATACAGATAAACAATTAGTATTAATATATGCTGACCATACCAATCAATACGTACACATACACATGTATTATTACACACATATACATACGTATACATTCACAGCATAAGTCGGTTCTGGTGCAAACAGTACTTCTGGTGCATATTGTGCACTGCTGCTATTTTACTTACCCTGGTTCACTTTCACGTGTAAAGTGATGCACTTTTTTTGGTGCCAGAAAAGTTAGGTCTAATTACCATACTTCACTGCATTTTTTAATAAAGTAGTTGCATTGTTACATATAGGACCTTAGAGCATCAACAATGGGAGGGAGTGGTCTCTTACACACCTCATACACACAAGACCTGTTTTTTCTATCACAAATTTTGTGTAGAGCCTACATATTTCCAATTTATATCTTCGTTTTAATCACTTTTAACTCACTATTTGATCTTTTCTTACCTGGAATCCTGTGCAAAGTCCACAAATGGATCTCGTCATACACCTAGTTCTCAAATTTACCTCCATCTATCTCATCTTTTTTATTTTCCCTTGACACTTCTACCACCATATTAATTGAAAAAATCATCTTTTCTCAGTCCCTCTTATTCCACATAAGATGGATCTTACAAAAATAGACCCTCCCATTGGATAAGCTCTTAGACCTCAAACTAATGCTCTAGAATAGGTGTTATTTTGGATGGAAAGATACTTTTAAGCAATATATATTTGTGTACACACACATTTATACATTTATATACATTTTTTATTTTTTATTTATTTATATACATATTTATACATATATATATACACTACTATATATATGTGCATATATACACACAAGCACACATGTATATGTATATATGTATGTATCTAATTATTCTGTAAAACATCACACTGTGCCATAGTATAGCTCTGTTGGAAACCCTAGCACGAGTTGCGGAGATGGGAGTACAAAATTGGCTGCTCTTCTCTCCTCTCAAACGTGAAAAAGGTTTGATGAGTTGGCGCATCCATTAAATAGTGTTTTTCCTAAAAATGTCTAGAGTTTGTGTATTCATTGTCGGTGGAGACGATCGGGTGGTTTAATTTTGTTATTGGTGGTTGACAAGGCTTGTTCTACCAGTTATTTTTGATATTTTACATCAGGTGACAGTGGCTACGCGGTTTTGTAATTCACCCTCCTCTAGAACCAGTCATGCTATGAGGGGAAAATAATGCTCAAATAGGTCTCCTTACTGATGGATGGCAATCTAATGGTTTTGGCAAAACCTTCCGTGTAGCCACGTGTAGCCAGTCAAACTCAGGATTCTGATTGTAGCTTTCTGGCTGCTAGACTAGCCTCATACATTTCCTTTTTGGTGGATGGTCAAGCCAAGATGTGCTTTAACTTCTCCTTTTGATGGTTGATAAAATTGGTCTTTTTAGAAATCATCTTTACTACAGTAAGAATGTTCAATCTGCAATTAGAGCCTACGTGTTTGTGAGATTAGCGAACTGGAGTGTTATTCTTCGGATAGTCTCATAGCATGTCTCGTCTCATTGTAGCCTTGAGCGTTATGATTGTTATTGTTGTCTTTATCATTAATAAATAAGTTTGCTCCCTCATAAAATGTATGCATATAAATGTAAAGAACGGATCTGGTCAGGCGCGCCTAACCAGACCCGCCCTGCGTACTTGCCTGTTTGAAGGCCTTCCCGGTAGAATTTTTTGATGACATTTTTTGAGCATGTTCTTCATCAAGTCTAGGTTATCCACACAAAATTTCAGCTTAAAAATCAATCGGGAAGGCAGTTAAATAAATTATTGAAAAATACTGCGCTTTATATGTTTCTACATAAAGCGCAGTATATTTCTATAATTTATTTGACCGCCTTCCCGATCGAATTTTAAGCTGAAATTTGGTGTGGATAAACTAGACTTGATGAAGAACATGTTCAAAATAATTCATCAAAAAATAACATCGGGAAGGCCCCCAAACGGGAAAGTCCACACAGCACTCCCCGTGTGGACCGCCTGACAGGATCTAGTCCATTACACATCCCAAATATAATAGGCTGTTTCAAGCAATATGTTGGGGCACTAGATGTTTGTGCTAGAATTCTTCCGGTTTACCCAGTGGCTAATACTATTAAGCAAAATGAAATCATGCAGAATTCATTAGTTTGTAACTTTGTACTGCTAGTTCATCCTAAGTGTCTAGTACTACTACTGAACAGAATGAAATGAAATATATGTGCATTTGAGTTCACCTCTGGACTTTCCTATTTCACTCGGTACTATAATTCCACTAGTGTGTATGATCAGTTTTTCTTCTTTTCAGTGTGGTTCCAAACAAAAAAACTAATATTTGTAACAATTCGAACTTGGAGAGTTGGAGCATTCAAGCGCAATAAAAAAAACATATGCACGACCATTCCTATAAAAACCTATGTATCTCTGTGAGCATGCAGGACATGCTACTCTTAGACTCTTAGTGCAATTGATATATCCCCCATTCTTCCCTAAGTAAAGGTGGTGGCTATTCACCACATGCTAGCAACTAAATACAAAGTATATATATTATATTTGAACAAAGCAAAAATTCATTCAAATTTAATTTTCAAGTCAAGAAAATTAACCATAGTGTGTATCCCTTACCTTTGAGTCCCCAAGAAATGCTTCAAAAACTGCTTCTGAGGCAAGTGTGACGGCTAAAGGTACAACTCCACCGGTCATTAATTTTGCAAAGCATGCAATATCTGGTTGACAGGAAAGCAACTCTGCTGCAGACTGCAGGATGAAATATACATTTAAAAAGATTGCAATATCCTAAAAAATGGCTTTATTCATAGTACAAAAATCAACCTCTGTCCCAAGGCGCCAAAACCCAGTAAGAACCTCATCATATATGACAGGAATCTTTCGCCTGTGGCATTCTTTTGTGAGTATTCGTTGAAACAAAGGATCAATCATTTCCATTCCACCAGCGCCTTGAATTACTATGAAACAAATCGATTATAAGCAAACTAGACAAGGCAATATAGCAAAAATTTCATTGTTTAGCCCTTTTGTTTTGCTAAGTACAAATCTTGCAACCACAGAACAGCAAAGTAGTTTATACTTCTACTAGACTATGTTGTAAGAGTTTAGGGTTTAAATTAAAGGCAGGTGGGGCTGTCTATTTGATTGAAAATGACACAGCTCTATTACAACCAACATAAACTAGGGTTAGCCTGTTTTAAACTATATATGATTCATTTTCTTTCAGATTGGGTGCATGAAGAATCCATAATTAAATCAACTAAGAGCTTGGATTTTATTGGAAGTGTAGAAGGGAGACATATTTGAATTTAATTTAGCTCTTTGTAGTGGAAGTGTATTGCTAATATTCAAAAAAGATGAATCTCATTTTTTAGTTATGTTGAAACCCTAACATTAGTTGTAATGGGCTTACCACACCCTGTATTGAAAATACTAATTTTGCTATGCATTGACCCCTTGTATAGTGATATACATAAACTGAACTATCAATATAATGCTTATACATTCACATGGTATGAGAGTCATATATATGAAACCCTAGGTCTCTTCATCATCTTTCTTCCGGTCTGAAATTCAGGAGAGAAATTCAGCGTGAATAGATGTTGTGATTGGTGTTGGACTGTTGGAGTACTTCCACTAGTAATCTATCTAATCTAAACCTACCGCCGTAATCGTTCACCCTCGCACCAACTGCCTGAAATCTTATCACTGTTTCACCGGTCACACGCCGCCAAAGTGTTCTGCTGCTTCCAAATCTCTCTTTCTGCTCAACTAGCATAGACACTGCCAACTTTTCGTCAATCCAGAGTTTCTGACGAGTCAGACCATCTACCATAATGGTGATTCACTGTTCCACACACTCCCACGTGCCGCCATCAGACCCTGCCTAGGTTCCCTATGTTGACCAATATCTGGTTTCTGGATGGATCGGTTTCTGATTCGAAAAAAACATCGCTGCTGGCTTGCACCATATTTTTGGTAATCCGTTATCTCAACGATACAAAACATACTTGTAATCACACTAACCAATAGTCTTCAAAGCACAGATACTTGCATTAGACATGTCCTCCCATTATCATCCTACCAATAGAGTTGGTTTTATATATTCAAAATAGCCCTTTTAACCTAGTTTTAGTTGGCAAAGATATTCGGTCTCTTAATTGCTCCATTATATTTTTTACTGATCATGTGATTGTATAGGACCGTCGTACAGGGGAGATGATTAGCGTTGAGCATGAACCTCAAGCCTTGTATCACCTCCATCGCATCCATCCATTGTTTGTGTGCCAACTGAATCTAATATCTCCTAACATAACTGATTAGTTCATCCTAGTCTCAAACTTTTGGCGTATGGCCCTGGGTTTCTGAGTTCTGACGTCTTCCACGTTTAGATCGTGAGTCATGTCACCTAGGAAAGCAACCTCCTCAAGCCACTCCCAAGGAAAGTCAATAAAAGGGCTGCAGCCGCTTTTGATTTAATTCATATAGATGTGTGGGGTCTGTATCAAGTCAAGTCTATTTTTAGGATTCAAGATACACATGGTTGATTTTATGAAAGAACATTCTGAATTGTCTTATATCATCATCACTACCCAGATGCCGCAAAGGCTCCCACACCTTCGGTGGGGTAGGGGGGTCGAATGTACGCAGTCTTACCCCTGTAATAAAGCACATGGAGACTATTTCCGCATGACCCATAGTGGGGTTGCAGAATGTAAGAACCAAAATTTAATTGATATTGTTCGCACTTTTTATTACATTCACATACATCACCCACATACAAGACAAATATCACTCTCATTGCATGTCATCTAATCAATAGTGTAAGAACCAACATTTAATTGATATTGCTCACTTTTCAGTTTTCATTAAATTCACTTACATCACCCCCCACACTGGATGGATATCACTCTCACTGCATGACATCTAACCAATTGAATGCCTTACTTGATACTTCGTACTGTCTCCGTCCCATTCAGAGGTTCTCACTAGTCTTTTTTGAACATCCTATTTCAAGGTTTAGATTCCACTTTAGGAAATAATTGACTTTCTTAAATGAATTTTTTTTAAGTACATATTAAAACTATTACACCCATAACAACGCAATTCTCATCAATTACCCCATTATATTATATTTCCACCCAAACTAAGAGAAGCCTTAGAGTACTAACTGTAACTTAGTAAGTAACTACCTGATCAATTTAAATTTTTAAAGTCCGAGGCATACTAAATTAGCAAAAATACAACAACATCCAACCATAGCCTCAAAAGGTTTTGGGGTCCGCATACTACAACAACAACAACCGAGCCTTATTTCCAAAAGATTTTAGGCTAACATAAATAGATCCATGATATAAGGGCCAAAAAGAGAAGAAAGATAAGAACAATAAAAAATAAAATAAGGTAGAATAGATAAGATAAAGATAAATATAAGATAACAATAACATAAGAACATAATAAAGATAAAAGACAAAAAGATAAACGAACATAAGAGAGATGGAAGATAAAAATAACATAAGAAGAAAGATTAAGAAGACGGACGATAAAAGAAAACGAGAAAAAAAGAAAGAAAAGAGATCACTCGTCTAGATGAATGTGCGCCCTCTACTTTGCTCTCTCCAAAGCCATACACTCGTCCAACCCAAAAAGATGCATATCAGTTCTGATTCCTCTAATCCAAGTCTGTTTGAATCTTCCTCTCCCTCTTCTCCCCGTGACCCTGCCTCTTCTCCCCACCTCTCAAGTCGTCTAATAGGTGCATCATTCCTCAAGCAGTCTTTTCTGGTATGTCCATACATCCAACGCAACATATGCATCTTAGTCATCGCCTAACACTCTATGTCATACATTAATGCAGGCCTAATTGATGTTCGATAAAATTTACTCTTTACCCTAGTTGGCATACCTCGATCGCATAGAAATCATGATGCAATCTTCCATTTCATCCACTCAGCTCTGATTCTATGTGATACATCTCCATCTAATTCACCATCCTTATCACACCATTCTTCTAATAAAGATGGTGAAATGGATACAATATCGTTAGCAAACATCATGCACCACAGTATATCTTCTTGAATTGACTTTGTAAGTCCATCCATGACTATAGCAAATAAGAAAGGACTCAGAACCGATCCTTGGTGCACTCCGATAGTAATAGGGAACTCTATGGTCCTCCCTACACAAGTACATATATGCCTTTTCTAGTTAAGGTCCACCAAAGGACTTCTTTAGGTACCCTATCATATGTCTTTTCTAAGTCAATGAACACCAGATGCAGATCCATTTTAGTGTCCTTAAACTTCTCCGCAACTTGTCTAAGAAAATGAATGGCTCAACCACTTGCTCCCAAAGTTTCATGGTGTGACTCATAAGTTTAATCCCTCGATAGTTTGCATATTCTTGTACATCACCCTTGTTTTTTCCTCGATAGTTGGCACATTCTTGTACACACTCTTATTTTTAAATAGGGGAATGAGAGTGTTCTTTCGCCAACTCACTCGCAATTTGTCGTTTCTCCAAATCATGTTGAAGAAACGCGTTAACCACTCGATGCCTTTCTCTCCCAAACTTCTCTAAGCCTTAATCGGTATGCCATATGGGCCCATTGCTTTCTTCTACCCCATCTTTCTCAAAGCTTCTTTAATTTCTATCGTTTGGAACATTCTCACAAAGTCCCAATTTACCATACACTTTGGTATAGTAAGATCATCAATACTTTGCATTTTATTCCCATTGAACAAGGTACCAAAGTATGACCTCCATCTCTGTTTTATCTCCACGTCCTCCATTAGTACCTTTTGATCGACAACCTTCCCACACTTAATTTTTCGGATATCTTGAGTCCTACGATCAATATCTTTTCTTCCTTAGAGTGTATAAATATCTTTCTCCTTCCTTAGAGTCCAATGTTACATACAATTCCTTGTTCACTTTTCTTCTTGCTTCCTTTACAGCTTTCTTTGTTTTTCTTCTAGCCACCTTGAAATCCTCTATGTTCTCATCGCTCCAACTTTGCCCAACTTTTTGTAGCATTCCTTTTTTGTCCTTATTGCTGGTTTCACCTCATCATTCCACCAAGATGTGTCCTTTTTTGGTGGCAGACATCCTTTAGATTCTCCGAGTATCTCCTTCTCCACTTTTTTAATGGTCGACTCCATTGATAACCACACATCATCCACATGTGCGTTATTATCAATACACCATACAGCTTCTTCCATCATTTTGTTGCGCCCAAGTTATCTGTTGCAATTTCATGGCATCTCTGAGCTTTGCGTCTAGTCTTGCCTAAGGCACACTTTTCTTAACTAAGGGTCGGTATTGTGCTTTCTCAAAGGAAGTATGCACTGGACATCCTTGAAAAACAGACATGTTAGAATTTAGGCTAATGGATACACCAATGGGATCAAACGCCAAATTCTTATCAGAACAAAGGGAGCTATTTGAGACCAAATAATTCATTGAAAAGCTGAATTATTTCACAATCACGAGACCAAATATTTCAACTTGTGAAAGACATTAGAATATTTTTTGAATATACTTTAGAATACAACAACACAACAACAACATCCAAGCCTTAATCTCAAAACAATTTGGGGTCGGCTAACATGAATCGATCTATGATATCGATGCCAAACAGAGAAGACAAACAAGAAGGGAAAAAAGTAAGATAAATCGGATAAAATAAAGATAAATAAATATAAGATAACAATAAGATAAGAATATAAAAAAGATAAAAGATAAAAAGACAAAAGAGCATAAAAAGCTAGAAGATAAAAATAACATAAGAATATAAAAAGACAAAGAAGATAAACGATAAAAGAAAAGAAAGAGGAAAGGTAGAAAAGACATCAATCATCCAAACCACAATGTGCAACGCATCAAATCATATCATGAGGACTAAACACATTGAGGTTGGCTACCATTTCATCCCGGAGAAGATCGTGAATGAATATATTGCCACATAATATGTTATACAACATGTTAACTTGCGGATTTCTAACATGATATCCTAGAGATCTTAGAATTGAATATATCTGTAACAAACTTGTCATTGTTGACTGTTATATGTTTTAAAGTGAACAAGTTTTCCTAAAGTATGAAAAAGAACTCACCAGCAAACAAAATACAAAAAAAGGCATAAGAACTCTTTTCAGAAAATTGCATATGAAGTCGCCCATGAAAATAAGACCCAAAACTAAGGGAAAATATCTTGCCTGGTTCGATAATCAATGCTCCAATACAGATAAACCCGCTGGGATCCAGATTCTCCAATAACTCTTCTGATAGGTATGACGAATACATATCAGCAATACCTGACACATCCCGCTCTTTATGAAAAATTGCATCACGAGAGCTGAAAACTGCAAATTGGCCCAATTAGCTAAATATAAAAGAACATAATATAAGTAGTAAATTTAGAGATTTTGTATGCACATGCTATACTTACTCAAATCCTTTCCATTTGCTATTTCAGGTTGAATTCTTTTTGGGATGCACAGTTTCCAAGCGCCCTGACACATAGAAACTTTTGGTGGATCTAAAAAATGACCTCTTCCCTTATACCTATGACAATATTTAGATCTCATAAGATCAAAAAATGCTCAGAGGCCCACCGATTGATAGGAGTACAAAACAACACAGCCACCCATGGCTTGTCTCAGTTGTGTAGTGTTACAAAATATAAGATATAACAATATTGAAGAAGGAATAATTTTCAGGCTGTTTATAGAAGGGTTTAAGTCCCTATAAATGTACATTACAAAGATAGAATATACCTAAACGATTTTATACCATCTGTCAACAAAAAATGATTTTATACCAAAATAATATCCTAGAGTATATTCCTAAAATATTCCAATGCACATTCCTACATTTATTCCAATATATTTCACATAGACTGTGAATCAGATACCATGGCTTAGCCAGGTAAAGATGAATTTTGATGCCTTAATCCCAAAAGAGATTGGGGTCTACAAAGTTACATGTTTGCATATAATAGTAAAATTTGAACTCATGAAGAAACTGACACATTTTCCTTTTACAACAAAACGGAAGAGTAACAGTCAATCCATCCCCATATTTGAGCTTAATTTAGCACTACATTGGACAAGTAGTGCCTGCTTTAAAAAATGAGAAACCCTTACAGACATTTAGGTCTATTAAAAATTTATATGAACATATAAACAATACAAATACAGAAAGGTTTTCAAATCCAGCATATGCATGCCAAGAAAGTTTCTATCACAATAAACAAATTTGGATATAAGGGCAGTGGAAAAACTTTCAATATAAAAAAAAATCGATATAAAGGCAGAGAAAAAACTTTCAATATAATCAAATTTCGATATAAAGGCAGTGGAAAAACTTTCAAAGAGGATAGAAAACCAAATGCATTAAACAATATATTGAAAGTTAAAAAAGTAAAAAACCTTTTATCATGTAAGCCTTTCGAAAGAAAAAACAGAAATGAATACATAGTTGAATATTATTATCAAGATCAAAGTGAAAGCAGATTAAAACCCAAAAGCTACAAGTTTCCTTAAGCATAAGACCACTTAGTTAGTGACACGAGATTCAGGATTGAAGAAACTAATAGAAGAAAGTTTCAAAAAAAAAAAACAGTGACATGTTCACACCATGGTTGTTGGTAGAATCCAGTATAAGGTGATGGTGCCTGCGCTTCCATAGCTCCCAATGTATCGCCATGATATGATCCTCTAAGGGCCAAAACCTTTACGTAGAACAATATTATCACTGTCATTAAGCACCAAAGCAGAAAAATTGTGATTGCCGAAGAATAAAACTGTGTGCTTCACAAAAATTTACAAGATGGTTAAATTCAATTCACAAAATCCATTTCGTAAACAGAAATAATGCTATTTGTCACATTGAATGTGCCCATTTAATGGCAGATCGTTTATAATATATTTTGTGAAGCATAAAGTAACTACAAGAAAAGGACAAGATTTAGATGATCATCAGATTCAGTAGAAAACAATGTAAAGTAGGGTATCTTTAGAGCATATAAGCTTCAATTACCAAACCAATTGCTACACAATACTACACGGACCTTTACAATTAAATACGCTCTCATTAAATAGACCCACTTACCCTCTTTATAGAAAAGAAGCGATAGACAAAATATCAGTAAAAAATATGAAGCATTAGGCACAGTAAGAAAGAACCACTTGGCATAAAAACTTTATATCCATATACAAGTGCACGAAGTCACACACACCAACCTTTAGATCGATACATCTATCAACACCGTTACCATTTGGATTGTCAAAACTGAATCCATGATCAAACAAAAATTTGCGTAGCGCCATTTTAAGTGCAATTTCAATTGCCGTAGATCCATTGTCTGAAAAGTATACTCTTGAAGCCCAACCTAGAAAAGTAAAATCATTTAAAAGCCAAATTGAAGTATTTTTAATTTTAAAAATATAAAATAGAATAAAAGGGGAAACAGCATATACTATGCACTATACATAGGAAAACATTGTAGCTCAATAAGTTGACACTCCTTAACTTTAGTTTTATTTCATTGCTACTCCTTAACACCAGTTTAATGTTAGAGTCTCAGGAAGTCAACTGTTTGATAATAATAATAATAATAATAATAATAATAATAGTAGTAGTAGTAGTAGCTATTATGATAAAGTATTCCAGAAGAAAAGGGAATAATAAGTAGCTAGCTGTTTTGTAATTGGGGGTCGGATGGACTTCTATAAATAGATAGCTAAAGGAGGAATAAGGCAGGCTGTTATTTGGTATTGGGCTGGGACTGGAGATTTGACATCTCTTTAACTGTCAGGGCACTTACTCTATCTTTTCTGTTGATCGAATAACCATTCTTGTTCACTGTTCATCTTCGTTCATATTTTCTGCCGCCATTATTACTGATTCCAGATAGATACTTAACATTGGTATCAGAGCAACAATCTTGTTACCTGTTCATGGTCGTTACAAGAGGAACGATGGAAATGCGATTGGAGAACCTGGAACGCGAGTTGGAACGGAGTTGTCTGGACATGCTGCGAGAGTTGGAGAAGACTCGCATGGAGGTGATGCGCGATCGCGATCGCGATCGCGAAGACATGCGTGAAGAGGTCAAGCGTACTTGCGATGAGTTACGCGAGCTGTTTTTGACCAGGAATGATAGTCGTTCGCGTGGAAGATCGAAAACGACCAGAAGAAACCAGCGCTCAGGTAGTCGCGAATCATCGTCTTCCTCAGGTAATCATCATTCTTCATCCTCCTCTAGACGAAATGATGATTACAGCAAATTGGTGGAAAAATCTGGAAGGAAAGTAGATTTACCACTGTTTAATGGACATGATGCTTATGGATGGATAGTTAAGGCTGAGCGCTTCCTTAAAATGAATCATATAGAGGAAGATGATAAAGTAGAATTAATTACTTTAGCTATGGAAGGAAAGGCTCTTAACTGGTTTCAGTGGTGGGAAGAACACACTGAGGTGAGGACCTGGGAATCATTCCAGTCTGCCTTGACTCGTAGATTTCAACCAGGATTGATAAATGATCCTTATGGCCCCTTATTGAGTGTAATTCAAACTGGCAGTGTAATGGAGTATAGGGAACAATTTGAGTTGATGGTGGCACCTTTGAAACAGACTGATCTGAAAATCCTTAAAGGAATCTTCATGAAGGGTTTAAAAGACGAAATAAAAGCAGAATTAAAATTGTATCCAGTCAGAACTCTTGCGGAGTTGATGGATAGGGCCTTGCTAGTGGAACAAAGGAACCAGACTCTGAAATCTGCCAGGAACAAGGAAGATGATATAAGAGGAATGAAAGATAAGGGGTATACTTCAGTACAGAATCACAAATGGATGGATGAAAACAAAGGGAGGAGCAGTCTGAACTACTAGTCCAGTCAAGGGAAACCTGCCATGGAAAAGAAAATGATGGAGACAGGAAATAAGGAGTCTGGAATAATGGGTACACACAGATTATCTCAATCTGAGTTACAGGAGTTGAGCAGAAAAGGTCTCTGTTTCAAGTGTGGGGAAAATGGGGAAAAGATCATATTTGTAAGATAAAACACTTCCAGCTCGTCATGTTAGATGAATCTGAAGAGGAGGAGGAATTTGAGAGTAATGCTATAGAACATGCTTCACCAATGGAAGAAACAGACCTCTCTACTATGCAGTTATCTCTCTTGAGCAAGGAAGGAATCACAACTCCTAAGACTTTTACAATGAAGGGAAAGTTAAGGAGCAGCAAGGGGGATAAAACTATAATCATTCTGATTGACTGTGGGGCCACCCACAATTTTATATCTCATAAGGTAGTTCAAGCAGCAGGCCTACCTATATTACAGATTCCAGAATTTAAGGTGAAGATAGGAAATGGAGACATAATCAGAAACAATGGGAGATGTGAAGCTGTTTTTCTTAACATACAACAAACTACTATCGTTCAAGACTTTTATGTCTTAGAATTGGGGGAAAATGAGATAGTTTTGGGGCTGGATTGGTTTGCAGGCTTGGGAAATGTTGAATTTAATTTCAATCAGCTGACTATCAAATGGAAGGAAAAGGGTAAAGCAATGAAGCTTCAAGGAGATACCAACTTCAGCAGGAATCAAGTTTCTTTCAAATCCATCATCAAGAATAAGCAAGAGCATGGAGAGGGGTATTGTTCGTTCAGCACTGCAATAACTGAAAACAAACTGGAAGTAAGTATGACTGGAAATTGGAAGAAAAAGGTGGGTTACACTACTAAAGGTGAAGCATTCGAACTCTCAAAGTGGTTTGTAGATTCGAGGGTTGAGCCGATCCCAGCAGTTGAATTGATTAGCAAGTTATATGCAAAAGAGAACTATGGTGAGCAGGGTTTGAACCAACAGTTTCAGAGATGGAAGGATGTTAATCTGGAGTGGTATAATGGTGGAAACAAGGGGTATGGGCTGCAAAATCTTGAAGGAGTATCTGAAAGGTGTTTTATCATTGAATGTATTGGAAGGGAGGTGCTGGATGTGCATGCTTATGAGGCACACCCAAAAGAAAATGCAGAGAAGGGTCACAAGCAATTTTACTATATCAATCTGGAGGACTCTAAGGCTGCTGAAGTGAATGGAAGGTCAGTAGAGACACCTTCTGCTGCAATAACAACGGTGATTTTGGAAGTTCATGCGCTGAAGATAACAATAAAGAAAGCAGTGGGGTATTGGGAAGGAAGAGGTGCAAAAATGAAGAAGAAGCTGTTTATCAGGAGTGTCTCATATGACCCACCTTGAGGACAAGGTGGTTGTTCCAGAGGGGAGTGATGTTAGAGTCTCAGGAAGTCAACTGTTTGATAATAATAATAATAATAATAATAATATTAATAATAATAATAATAATAATAATAATAATAGTAGTAGTAGTAGTAGTAGTAGTAGTAGCTATTATGATAAAGTATTCCAGAAGAAAAGGGAATAATAAGTAGCTAGCTGTTTTGTAATTGGGGGTCGGGTGGACTTCTATAAATAGATAGCTAAAGGAGGAATAAGGCAGGCTGTTATTTGGTATTGGGCTGGGACAGGAGAGTTGACATCTCTTTAACTGTCAGGGCACTTTCTCTATCTTTTCTGTTGATCGAATAACCATTCTTGTTCACTGTTCATCTTCGTTCATATTTTCTGCCGCCATTATTACTGATTCCAGATAGATACTTAACATTTAATTTCATGGCATATGGACTTCAGAATTTTGTTAATCGCACATGAGGACAGAAAAACCATATCATTTTCTCTTAATTAAGGATACAAGAACTTTGTTTAGCAAGGCAACTTAAACATTTATTTATACACCCCATACACACCTACACACAAAACAGGTTGGCTAATGTTTATACAGGTTTTCATTTATTATCAGTTGGAATTGAGGTGTTGAATGTAGAAGGAAATCTCAATCAACCTTAATCTCCAGCATTTATTGTACTTCCTCTGTCCCTTAAAACTTGAACAAGTTTGACCGGCACGAGGATTAATAAAGTAAAAATTGTGTGGTTAGGTTTGTGCAGGTGAGAATTAACTGCAACCACAAATTCTTTACTTAAAAGGGAAAGTAGCAAAGTTAGTAGGACAATAGAAAAGGAAAGTTGGTAATGTCTTAAGGGACGGAGAGAGTAATATATGACGTATAGAATCTTATCTTTAATAGATTAGAATATTCCTGTATAAGTTGCATAAATAATCTGTTTATCACAGTGATGTCAATAGCGGGCTAGAGCGGTGCTATAGTGGTATAGCGGAGCGGAGCAGGGGCTAGGCGCTATAAGATTGTCTATAGCGGAGCGGTTGGTAATAGCGGCTGTAGCGGGCGCTATAGCGGGAAGAATAGCGACTGTAGAGGGCGCTATAGCGCCGCTATAGTTTACAGACCTACTTCAGTACTTGTTTTGAGGAAATTTGGGACTACTTTTTACTCTTGGATATTTTTGGAGTAAAATATTACCTCAATACACCCTCCAAAACACATGGAGACAAAAAAACCCCTACTAAAGCTTACTAAATTAACACACAACAGAAACCAAGATCAAACACAACCTATACCATACATCTCCATGTTAATGTAGTTCAAGGCATCCCAACAACCATGATTTTCTTATAATGAGATATTAATGATGCAAGTTTATCAAGCATTATCTGGATCTTATTCTTTAAAGTTTAGGGGTGAGGTACTTCACTTATTTGTTTTTTGTTTAAGGCTCTAATGCCTCTTTATTGGTTATTTAGTGAGTAATTGAGTATAAGTTTCATGACATTTGAGTAATAGTGTAATACGGAGTATTTTGTGTGTGTGTGTGTGTGTATATATATATATATATAGTCTAAATAGCGGTCATCCCGCTATCCGCTATAGCATTTTCGGGGTTGGCCGTAACGCTCCGCTATTCGAGATTGAAAACATTGGATTATCAATAATATCAAGCAGTAAACAAAGGGATGGTTTGCTCATCTTCGATGCTTCCCACTTCCTAGAAAAACTTGACAGAACCAATTATATTTTCTGGCGTGATCAGGCCCTTGATGTCCTATTTGGTCTCGACCTTGACAGATTGATCAACATAAAAACCTATCCTCCCACTAGGTGATGGTGCCTGCGCTTTCTAAGGATTCGCAGAGTCTAGCTTATTAACTCTCATTTAATATCTCTTGGGATTTACTAGTTGTCTATAAAGCCTACATTATTCTATTAAGACTGCCAAATATTTGATGTTACTAAATTGACATAATTGATCTGAAACCTAGGATAATTGGAATCGCTGCTAGCTAAAATCTGTTCTTTTCTTTCAGATGAACCAGAAACCAATTACAGACCTTTCCCGACACCTTCAAGCAAAAGTTCAGCACACTCAAAAGCTGGCTCATGAACATTCTCAGGAAACATTACATGCCCATATCTAGAGGTAGCATAACCTATGTCTCTTGCAAGCTCAACCTGAAACACCTAAACAAAATCAGAATACAAATCATAGAGAACAAGTTATACAAAGTTCAAAACATAATGAAATAATATCAGAGAAACATATGGTCTAGTACGAAAAAATGATTCCACATTGCAAGCAATACTATAACAATCTCATTCAAAGAAAAATAGTTTCACTTATGATAGGAACCTAGGTTGAAGATGATAATAATAATGATAAAAATAACAATAATAACAATCATAACAATGATAACAATGATAAGAATAATAACAATAATAACAATAACAACAACAACAACAATAATAATAATAATAATAATAATAATAATAATAATAATAATAGTTTCACTTATGATAGTGATAGTGGTAGTGGAGGTGGTAGTGGTAATGGTAGTGGTAGGGGTACGGGTACGGGGTAAGGGTAGGGGTAGTGGTAGTTGCTAGCTATTTTAAATATACTCGTATATACCTATTTGATTGTAATTAGATGACTATTGTACTTAGTCAGGGTTGTTAGCATAGTTTTAGCTTAGATCCTATTTTTAAGGAGTTGGTTATTGTATTGCTTGCAATGCGGAATGCGAATTTCATTCCGCCTAAAATCTGTTTCACTTACATGGTATCAGAGCCACTGGTCACTTACATGGCAGTGCCGATTCAACCCGTGAATCCAGTCACACTGGTCGTGCAAATCTCACATCTCAATCTGATTCTTTTCAGAATATTTCTATTACATCTCATAAATTAAATGGGAGTAATTACCCCCAATCGTCTCAGTCTGTCAAATTGTTCGTTCAAAGGCGGGGAAAGTTTGGATATCTTACCGGATCCACAGCCAAGCCGCATGAAGGAGAGGAAGGACTTGTTCGATGGGAAGCTGAGAACTCTAAGGTTATGTCATGGCTTGTGAATTCAATGGATCCAGATGTTAGTCGTGCCTACTTGTTTCTACCAAGTGCACATGAAATCTAGACTGTCGTCATGAAAACATACTCAGACTTGGGAAATGTCGGCCAACAATTTGAGATCAAGACTCAATTAAATAAGACACGACAAGGAGACAAGAGTGTCACACAGTAGTCAGTACCACACTGAACTGACAAGAGTGGCAAGAGTACGATCTGTTTTGCGACTACATCTGGAAATGTGTATCAGATAGCGCATTATATCAAAAGACCATCGAGAAGGAGAAGGTCTTTGACTTTCTTGTTGGACTAAACAAGGAACTTGATGAAGTTCGAGGTCGAATACTTGGAAAAGACTCATTTCCCAGCACACAGGAAGCATTTGCAGAAGTTAGGAGAGAAGAAAGTTGTAGGCATGTAATGCTTGGTGTTGAGATTTCATCAAATGCTGAAACTGTAGCGCTAGCCACTTCAAACACGGATGAGAAGCCAGAATTGTCGCCTCAACTATGTTAAAAGAAAGAGAGCAGAGCTTTTTGTTACTATTGTCACAAACTTGGGCATATCAAAGCTAAATGTTGGAAGTTGCATGGCAAGCCAGCCAACTTCACACCAACAAACAGGTCACGGCGCAATTCCAGAGGTGGTTTTCAAGCCTCTTTAGAAGAATCTAATGCCTATTTATCCTCTAGTGACAACTCATCCATCAAGGAAAACTTAGATCAATTGTGTTGTAACCTGAACCACAGCCCATCTGATCCTTCATCCTCATTAGTCCAAAAAGGTACCTATGCAGCAGCATTTAACCTTAAATTAGATAAATCCGACCCTTGGATCATTGATTCAGGGGCCACCGATCATATGACTGGATCTTCATATATGTCTTCTACATATTTCCATTTTTCTGGTCATCAAAAGGCTAAAATTGCAGATGGTTCCTTGTCTGCAATAGCTGGGAAAGATTCTATTATTGTCTCACCTTTACTCACTTTAACCAATGTCCTACGTGTGCCTAATATATCATGTAATCTTTTATTTGTTAGCAAAATAACCACTGACTCTAATTGCCTTGTAAAATTTGTTTCTTTTTTTCAGGAGCTAGCACGAGGAAGGTGATTCGTAGTGCACATGGAAGTGGTGGACTCTATTATTTTACCTCAGAACATATTCAACGTAAACAAGTTCAGAATTCATGTTTCTGTAGTTACTTGTCTTTAGAGAATGAAATAATGTTATGGCATTATAGATCAGGCCATCCTAGTTTTGATTATTCGAAACATTTATTTCTTACATTATTCAGAAATAAAGATGTTGAAAATTTTAGTGTGAAAGTTGGCAATTAGCTAAACATAAGAGATCTGTTTATCCCACTGTGAACTATATGCCATTCAAACCATTCTCCTTAATTCACAGTGACATATGGGGACCATCTCATGTCAAAAGTTATTCTCAGGCAAGATAGTTCATTACATTTATTGATGATCACATACACGAAAAACTTGGATTTATCTTCTTAAAAAAATATTTGAAGCTGCTGACATTTTAAAAAAAAAAATTCTATGATTCAAACTCAATTTAAGTCTCAAATCCAGGTTTTTCGAACTGATAATGGAAAAGAGGATTTCAATCAAATTCTTGGAAATTTTTTGATCGAACAAGACATAATCCATCATAGTTCTTGTGTAGTTACACCTCTCCAAAATGGAATTGTCAAAAGAAAAAATATACATCTTTTAAAAGTCACTCGAGCTCTAATGTTTTCAATGAATGTTAAAAAACGTTTTTGGGGAGAGGACTTACTCCATGCTGCTTATCTAATAAATAGGATGCCAAGCAAAATTCTAAGCTATCAAACCCCTTTAAAAACTCTACACCTTATTTCCTCACAATAAAACTTTCACTGAATTACCTCATAAGGTTTTTGACTGCACTAGTTTTGTTCATAATCATGCTATAAATCGCAGCAAATTGGATCCTAGAGCTATCAAATGCACATTTTTAGGTGTTTCAAACACTCAAAAAGGTTATAAGTGTTTTGATGTGAGCTCGGGTAAGATGTTTGTCAGCATGAATGTCACATTTTTTGAAAACAAGCCTTTTTGAAAAAAAATCTCTTCAGAGGAGCATTTAGTGAATAATGAAGATAAGTTTTGGAAATGCAATGTGCTTCCTATTCCTGTTTTTAATGACCAAACTGAGTTAGCCAATGGCAAACATACCATAACAAAAAAATCCACTCCTCATAAAGATTCTGCAACTCTGAGAAACATAGCACCAACTACTAAACTTCGTGTTTACTCAAGAAGGAAAGAGAGGCAAAGGGTGATTCCACAACTCACTTATGCACAACCAATCTCATTCTCCATCCAACTCTAGAGCAAAATCATGTGTCTGAGTCAAAATCAATGCCTAACCAAAGTGATCTCAATGAACCAATAGCCATTAGAAAAGGAGTTAGAGAATTGTACCAAACACCCAATCAGTAACTATATGTCATATCATAACCTATCACCAAAGTTTAGAGCCTTTACCATTAGCATTACTGATGATGAAACTCTTAAAACGATACATGAAGCTCTAAGTATTCCGAAGTGGAGAGAGGTTGTTCTAGAAGAAATGAGGGCATTAGAAAAGAACCAAACTTGGGAATTGACAAAGCTGCCACCCAACAACCAACTGGTTGACAACAAATGGATTTTCACCATCAAATACAATTCTGATGGTACGATAGAAAGGTACAAAGCTAGACTTGTAGCTAGAGGGTTCACTCAAACATATGGTCTAGATTATGAAGAAACATTTGCTCCAGTTGCAAAGCTCAACACTGTCAGAATACTTTTTCTTTAGCTGCAAACTTGGATTAGCCGCTACTATCACTACATGTTAAGAATGCATTTCTTAACGGAGACTTGGAAGAAGAAGTGTTTATGCAAGTTCCACCTGGATTTGACAGTGATATTAGTGCAGGAAAGGTGTGCAAACTGAAGAAGGCCTTATATGGACTCAAAGCGAGGATACACTCAAGCACAATCAGGCCACACTTTGTTCAACAAACATAGTGTAGAAGGTAAAGTGGCACTACTAATTGTATATGTGGATGACATAGTATTAATAGGAGATGATCAGGGAGAATTGGCAGCATTGAAGAATTTCCTAGCCCAACAATTCGAGATAAAAGATTTAGGAAATCTCAAGTACTTTCTTGGTTTGGAAGTTGCTAGATCCCACAAAGGAATTGTTGTTTGTCAGAGGAAATATGTACTTGACTTGTTGAAAGAAACGGGTCTCCTTGGATGCAAACATGTCTCTGATTAATCCAAATCACAAATTTGGTAGAAGTGAAAATGAGGAAGTTGTGAACAAAACCAAATATCAGCAACTTGTTGGTAAGCTTATACCACGAAGAGCTCAGAACAAACACAACGACCTCAAGGTCAGCGCTAAGCAGGTATATCTGAAAAACAAGCCCTTCACACACACTCTAAATTCTTGACATTTTTTCACAAATAAATTTTTCTATCAACCCACGGTCGGGTCGTGGATGTAGCAACTAACCCATGAAGCAGGTCAGGAAAGCAAAAGAACACGAAGCTGGAGCTCAGAACCACTGACAACAGGGCGTCGCTTTACTCTCCGGAATTCATGGCAGAGCGGAGTATACTCTTTTCCTCCATTACGATTTTTTCCCACAGGATTTTTCCTCAGCGGAGTTTTTAATGAGGTACCTCTTTGTCATGACCATGGAGAGCAGCACCCCCGTCGGGCGCGTCAGCCCAGAAGATTAAAAAATTACTCTCTCACCTCAAGTGTTACTTTCACTTCGGAGAGTGAGAGACTCATGATGGAGTATATTCCCATACACCCCAAGGGTATCATAATCGCCGGCATACACATCACGGATCCATCCCATAATACACCAAATTACTAAGTCCTCAACTGGGACCGACCTCGAGACCGAAGGCTAGCCGACCCCGACCTCGACCACTCGAGGTCGGCAAAATACAAAGCTCGGGAACCGTTCAGACACGACAAGTTATGAGGTTGACCTCGAATGCACAGAGCTCGGTACCACCCTGACCTCGAGCACTGACGTGAGGTCAACCGAAGTCAAAACAAAGAAGTCAACGATCTCAAGGCAGGACTAAGAACAGAGGACA